TTTGGAAGGAGGAAATGCCCCAGGCATTTTGAGCAGCATTGTTTGGATGGACAGAGCGGAGAAGGGGTTGCTGGTCAAATGCTGAAAGCCTGTTGTCCTTTCTGTTCCTGGACAGACTGGCAGAGCTGACAATAATTTCTCCTAGTGCTGTTAGCCTGGCTTCCCAGCATGGCACCAGCATGTGCTTGATGACGGGAGGTGAGGACATAGACTATAGAGACTTGATTTTTCTTTCCAGGATTCCTTTCCCGTTAAATCCTAGTTCTGAGCATTTGAAGCTATCAGGCAACTTGAACAGATTAGAGATTCTGCTGATGTATTGACTCATCTGTTGCCCAGCAGGCTCCTTGCCCAGGCTGAGCGAGGTGGCCATGCAGATGGTGGTGAGGGAACTCCCAGGCTCTCAGAGATCTCAACATCAACACTAAGGTTACCTTCCTGGGGAAATCTCGAGATATCATGGTATTTCTGATGACTGTGTGAGCTCCTAACCATGTTTGGAATGAACCGCGTTTGGAATGCTCATGACACTTGGCTTTATTTCTCTTAATCACCTGGGTTAGTTAAGGGTGACCAAAGACAGTGATGAGCTGAATGGGCTCCAATAAATTGAAACTGATGTTGGTAAACTGATGCTTAATTTATTCAGGATGGGGCTATCCTCTGACAGAGCAGGTAAACAGTTTGGGGGTGCTCTTTGCTCTACAGTTGTCACTTGATGCCCAGGAGGCCATGGTGGCTGAGATTGTCTTTTACCTGCTGCAGCTGCTTTGCCAGCCATGGCCTTTCATGGATCATTGCAATCCGTCTGTGGTGATTCATGCTCTAGTAACCTCCAGGCTTGATGTGGAACTGCCTTCAAGATGACCCAGAAAGTTAAATTAGTGTAGAATTTGGCTGTCAGAATTCTCAATGGTTCAGCTAGGCTTTTTATGATTCCTTTTCTGAAATCAGTGCATTAGCTTTCTGTTCAATTTCTTGCTCAATTTGCGCTACTGGGACTTATCTTAACAGCCTGAAGCAGCCTGGAACCCAAATCCCTGAAGGAGTGCCTTATCTTCTTCCTGCCTGTTTCTTTAGGGCTTCTGTAAAAGCCCTTCTCTGATTGCTTTCTTTAACAGAGGCACATATGCACAGTGCAGGAGAGAGCCCTTTCTGCAGTGGCTCCCCAGTTCTGGAATACCCTCTCCAAAGAGGCTTATCTGATGCCAAAAGTACAGTATTTTCAGTGACAGGCTTAGACCTTCTGTTTGCCATTTCAGCAGAACAGCTGATCAGGATCCCTTTCAATCTAGCTTTGTACTTTCCTTTAGCAACGAAATGACATTGGTCTTTCTGATGGAAGGCCCTACTCTAAGAGAAGGAGAGAAGACTTGCCACCCTGCTAATTCCCCTAGAGCGCTCAAGTGGCCTTCAAGTCCCGTCAGCCATGGTCTCCTTCTGGGGTGGGAAGCATGGTCATACTGCTCCAGTGATTCTATTCCTTCTCTGAGAAAGGTTTCCAGAAGGTGGCCCTGGGAAACTACTCTGTAGGGCTCTGTTTTGAATGCCATGTCAAGTAGCATCTACATAAAACTGCTGAATGATGTGATCAGGGGATGTGGCATGAGATGTCATCAATCAGCTCTGTTTCTCCATTTCATCATGCTTTGGTGAAGCTGTGGAGATGCTGACTCAGTGTCTGAGATGAGCAGTGAACTGGATGGAAGCCAGTAAACTGAAGCTCAGTCCAGATGAGGCAGAGAGATTGATGATCTGGGAAGTGGTTTTCAGGCCCTTCTGAGCTGGGTTTCATTTCCCCTCAAGTGGGAGGGCAGCCTATGCCCTCTCAGAAGCTGTTGGACTGCAGCTCCCATCATCCATCACCATTAACTGTCCTGGTTAGGGTGATGGGAGTTGTGGCCTGTCAGCTGGTAGTTCACTGCTGCCCTCAGGGATCGGCTTGGAGGTGCTCTGGTCGTCCAGCAGCTACAGCTTCCAGGCAGAGATCATGCAATAGCCGTTGCTACAATAACGGTATCACAGTCGGAGTCCTACAATGAGCTAGCCAGTTCACGGATTCTATACGATTAACATAGGTGTGATGCAGAAGGGGCATGTGTGCTGGCAGTTATGAAACTGCAGGCATATTGGTTCAAAGAGGTTTTGTGACAGTAAAAATGCCAGCGATTTATGGATAGTCTCCGTTCCTTTCTCTACCGGGTACTTCCTCTAGGTATATTACCAATCTCAGGACAATTTTGAGACAATATGGAAATAATGAACATATTACAATCTAGCACATGGTTGGAGTTAGAAAGGCAGGACAATAAAACCATGAAGAGCAGCAGAATAGGTGTATAACAGAAGTGAGCTTCAGGGATAGGAATTCTTGGTTTGGGGTTATACAGTGCTAAGTGGCAGGAAAATGGGAACTAGAGTACTTCAAAGCTGGAAATCCAAAATAGTCTGTTGTTACCAGTTGTGATATTGCAGTACTCGCGTCATCTGTTCCATGGCACAAAGCTTCAGGAAATCTGGATAAGGGAGCCCCTTGCAGATCACAAGGGCTGACTGTTGCCCACCAATGAATGTCATTAAATCTCTCTCGCTTCTCATCCCAGCCCTCCTCCCCAAGTGAATGCAGCCTGTCAAATCCTGCTTATTCCGATGTTTACTTCATAGAGTCATTTTCAGGGATTCAAGATACCCGTCTGGGACATCTAGGGTTTTGGGTCTTTATCTTTCAGTCATTGGTAGCTATGTTGCAAGTTAGTGTCTTAGCTAAGATTAGGGTGCTCCTAGAGGTTTTTTTCCCCTAAATTAGAAGAATATGTAGATTCTAAGTTTCTGTGCTCATGCAAGTTTCGCATACCGGTTGCATATTTAATTTTTTGGAGCTTTCCTTCCTCTGTCTTGGTTTTATGTTTTTGTGATCACATTTATTTCATATGTAGCTTCCATAGTGCAAGCTTTGCATGCAAGGCAACTGAAGTGAGGCTGGGGTGGGGGGAATAATCATTTTTTAATACTGACATTCTTATTTGATTGCAAGTCTCATTCCCAACAAGATGGCAACCCTGTGCCTGAACTGTATTACTTCAGACTAGCACAAAGACTTGCCTTAACATAGAAGTCTGTTAACCAGCGCTAGGTTTGACCTTGCTCCCTCACATGCTAGTTTTCCCTGCAATTGAATGATGCCTGTGCATCTGTAGAGAGAAGGGCATTTTCTTCTGTCAGCCTGCACCTGTGAAGTTCTGGCACACATTTGCCATCTCTCTGAGTGCTGAGGTGTACAGTTCATTTCCATGGTTGGGAAACTGGTAGAAATGAAACCCATGTTTTATAATTAGGTCTTAGGCATGTTTGCTATGGTTACTATTTGTTTGAAGCGGCTATTCGTATTCAATGTTCGGTGCTGCTATCTGAGAACTGGCTACCTTTCTATTCTGTATGAGGTGAACAGGACACAGATCCAAGGGTGCCGTTTCTGGACTGCACTGGGTATATTTTAATTTTATGTAATGGTATCTCAGAAGTCAGTGTTGCGTCATCCCTTCCTCAATTTATTGCCCATGAATCCAGAATTAATAATGAGTCAATGAATGATGGGACACCAACATTAGTATAATTAGTAAGAGCTTTTCACAATATTATGGACTGTCCAACTGTCCTAAGCAGCCTCCAATTGCACCTCTGATGAATGGTATTTCTGTAAAAGAACCTCCTTTTTAATACTGTCTGAAGAAGATGGATTTGCCCTGGCTTCCGCTAGGGGAGATTTCACACAACCTGTTTGCCTGAGGAGCAGCTTTTGCACCTCCCTTGAGTTGAAGATCTCAGGAATAGGTAAATGTTCCACATCATTCAGTGTGTGCAGTTCAGTGAGTCTCCAGTATAACGGCAATGCAGTTGGGAAGAGCAAACATGTGGAAGAAATTATGTGAAATTTTGTATAAGGAGGCAGGAAATAAAAGCTATCCTGACCTATGAAAAGCTTGTTGTCAGTTTTACACTTAATGTTTTTCAGATCTCTGTTATCATATATTAATGTGTGTACAGATATTTGAATCATGTTCATGCACTGCATAGTATCTTGCTAATTTACACTGTCACTTCAGGAAAGATGAATACAAATTATGCTTTTTTCCTTTGGCATGAGAATTAATACTATTATCAATCTAATGTTACAAAAAATAAATTTGTATAGCAGCACACAGTTGAATAATGCCTTGGCTACTATTTCACCTTATTTCTTCTTGGTGCTGAAGAAAAAGCACCATTTGGGATGGTGAGGTTGGAGGCAGGTTGGCACACAGCCACTGGAAAGAAACCCTCAGAATTGATTTTCTGACGCTTCAAATTTAGAGGCAAGGGCTATTAGTGACCCCTAACTATACACATGGAAACTGCATGGAAAATCCCACCTAGCACAGCTTCTTAAAAAAGCGAATGCCAGGTCCTTATAGATATGGAGAAATGATTGCAAACATGCAGGTAGCTTCTTCCAAAAACAATTTATTTCCCAGAGGGGTGTGTCTCATCCTACATGGCCGCTTTCTCTGATTTCTGGTCTCCATGCTCAACCTCTGCATCATGTTCTAGTCCATGCGGATCTTGTTTGTCTTCCTACGACCATCCCGTTTGTGAAAAGATTCCCAAGTTCTTCAGAATAGTTCGGCTGAATTACAGCATGCAAAATGTAACTAATTCTAAATGCAGGATTTAAGCGCTGATGTGCATGTTTTGTTTCTCTTAATTATACAGTGGGTGGCCAGCTGACACACAAGTGCTGCTAGCAGGGGGAGGCTGTGGTCTGCTTGAAGAAAAGGAGTGCTGAGCCTGGCTTTGGCAAGACCTAACATGCAGCAGCTCTGCTGTTGACACTCTTTTAACCCATGGCCATGCCTGTTTGACGGCTCACCATCCAAAAACCACCCAAAAATCAGCATATCCTAGAGCAGATGACCTGCCAGAGATTTTCCTCACCAGCTGTCTTCATTTTCTTTCTCTTGTAGTGTGTGCTGTATTTATGGAGTTTAAAGATCAACCATCCCAAAACCCTTTTCCTGCTCCGAGGGAATCACGAGTGCAGGCACCTCACGGAATACTTCACCTTCAAACAGGAGTGTAAGTATGGCCGGGAGGGTGCTCTGTGTGCCTGGCCTGGAAACGCTGCTGGTGCTGGGGTGACAGCATGCGTGTTCGCCACCAACATGCATGGAAGGGGCGTTCTGAATTCCTTCTCAGGAAGAGGCTGTGGATGCTGCGCCTCTCCTCTGTCTCCCTGACAGTCTGACTCCATGCAAGCCCTCCCTCCCACTCGTATCAGCTTGGGGACCCAGCACCCTGTAATTACCGCCAAGAGCTTTCAGTTCCAGATTGTGCAGCTGGTATCAGAATTGGAGGGAAGGTGCCGGCTTCTCCTTGAATGCTGGGTAGAACTTGAATTGACAAAACCTGTCTTAATTCCTGTTGCCTGAGTGGCGATGGTGCAAAGGGGAGACCCATCCCTTTGTTCTCCAGGCGCTTTCGAAATGCCTCTGCACAACTCATTTTTTCTCACACCATTTGAATACCTTGTTTCTGCAACACTTTTTGTTCGTACTAGAGCCCGGGCTTATGAGATCAGCTTCAAGCCCTTTGACTCTTTCCCCAACACAACTTCATCTTGTTTTCTGTCTCTCTTCTGCACTGCACAAATTTATCTGCAAACTAGTTTGCACCTCTTTGTCTGGCTACTTGTCTGCACAGGAAGGAATTGCACCTTGGCCCAGTCCTGCCTTGGAATGCAAGCTCTGCTGAGATCATTTGATCTCCCCAAGTCCATTTGGCTCCAGCCTCCCATCAGCCCATGTGAGAATAAGCAGGAAGAGTCTGCTAACAAGCAAGTCAGCAGCTTCTGTTCAAAGGTCCTTGCTTTCCATTGTACATCCTCTTGACCTGCCTTCATTCTTCTTAAACAAAGCCTGGCCGGAGTTTGCTTTTAGCTTTCATTTGATTTGAACATTTCATTTCGTAATAATCCCCCTATATTACTTCTCCAGGAGAATCCCCAAATACTGTGGCCAGAGTTGCAATAGCAGTGGTGTACAAACAGTTCTGTAGAGGCCTTCAGACTGTTCTTTGGCATTTTTTACTGAGAATTTTTATTTATTATTTCATTTTATACTGCCCAATAGCAGAGGCTCTCTGGATGGTTAACAAAAGTTAGAATTAAACAAAGGTATTGAAAACAACACACACAGAAACATTAATTTAAAAGAATAAAACCATAATGGTAATTGCTATGATTCAGCACAGAAGCATAGGAGCAGTAACGAATAAAATGGAATATCCAAAAACAATGCTAAACTATTAAAATACTGGGAAAATTAAAAGGTCTTCACTTCTGTCAAAAAGAATACAAAGTAGGTGCCAGGTGTGCCTCTTTGGGGAGTTCATTCCAAAACCAGGGTGCTACAGCTAAAAAGGCCCTTCTCCTGATAGCCACCTACCTCACTCCCTTTGGAAAGGGGCTCTTGGAGAAGGACCCCTGAAGATGACTGTGTGGTCTGGGTGGGTATATATGGGAGGAGGCAATCCTTCAGATAACCTGGCCCCAAGCCATTTAGGGCTTTGAATGTTGGTAGTAGCAGTTTGAATTTAACTGGCAGCCATTAACATTCTCACTGCCCTGTTTTGAATCAGCTGAAGTTTCCAGGCCATTCTCAAACACACACAGCTTTCAATGGAAAACTGCTTGCTCCCAGTCTGCTCCTGTGTCGTGCAGCTTCAGTTTCCAGTTCACACTCCCAGTTCACGCACGTTGAGTCGAGCAAGGCCTAGAATGCTTGGCTGCTACCACATGTGAACTGCCTAGAACATGCCCCCAGATCTCCTGCAATCCACAGGAGATTTACTAGGATTCTTCTTTGGATGAGTCTGCATGGAAAGTTCCTGAAGGTAGAAAAAGTGAAAATTCTGGTTCAGAAAAAGGAAGGGGAAGGCAAGGTGCACTTCTAAGCCCTCTTCACAGGCAGTCTTCTGGATGGCTCTTTCCTTGCTTGCTGAAGTCATTGTATTTACAGGAATCTTGTGGGCAGTTGAACCAAAGAAGGCCTGTGCGGTGGTGCAGTTGACAAATAACAGCGGTGTCCTCCTCCTTGCCTCTGCTTCCTGTAGGTCGAATCAAGTACTCGGAACGGGTGTATGATGCATGCATGGATACCTTTGACTGTCTTCCTCTTGCTGCCCTTTTGAACCAGCAGTTCCTGTGTGTACATGGAGGGCTGTCTCCTGAAATCACATGTCTAGATGACATTAGGAAAGTAAGTGATCTCTGCTTCCTCCCCACACCCACTGGGTAACACAGCCCTGGTGTGCTAGCATCTGCTGGGGGTTACCTGTAGCCTTACCTGACCCCTTTCTAGCAAGCTCCCATTCCAAGAGGGCTGGTTCCTTTTTGAGGCGGCTTATACTTTCTTGAGGGGCTGGCAATACAGCTTCCAACAAATCACTTCTCTCTGATCCACTTCTAACTTCTGAAAAATTGATCCGTCATCCCTCAAAGATAAATGGAGACATTGCACAAAGATGTGTGGTGTCTTTAATGCTCACAGATAAACCATTAACATGTTGAACTCTGATTCATCTCTTGGGTTTAAAATGTGGGATTCCACTGCCTTGAAAACGATATAGCCTGAGACATTCACATATATTCAAGAAGAATATATTATGCGTTTGTTTTTGAGAGGCCACCTCATAGGCTGTGTCTGTCTAGCAGGGATGAATTGTTGTTGTTTTTTAAAATCCATAAACACAACCTTTGGGTACATTTCCATAAAACCTTTCCTCCACCCAACAAGTTTAAATCCTTAATTGTCCTTTTGTTCATGTACCTTCTAGTTAGACAGGTTTAAGGAACCTCCAGCCTTTGGTCCAATGTGTGACCTACTGTGGTCTGACCCATCAGAAGATTATGGCAATGAGAAGACACTGGAACATTTTACCCACAACACTGTTCGAGGTTGCTCCTATTTCTACAGGTGAGAATCATTTCAGACAAAATCCTTAGCCAGGTGAATCCCCGGCTACTCTCCAAGCTTTGAGTAGATTTCTGTGTTTTGCAGACATGTGGTTATTCCTCTCTGAAAGGTACCACTTGACTCACTGTTTATCCCCTGTGTCTTTTCCACTCGAGTGAAAGTTCTTCAAGGCCATTTGCATATTGCATTCAGAGATTTTTCTGAAGTTCCGAGAAGCAGCTAGAAGATTTTGAAAATGACAAAACAAGTTTACTTGGGCTGCCTAGAACTTAAAACCTGGCAAACGGCAGGAAATTTAGCACAGGAGTATCTCTTGAATTCAGTTTCATGGCCTTTTACAAGTTCTAAAGGTTTACATGGGTGACTTCAGAATAAGAGCAAGCCCCCATTTCCATAAATGTTAGCTTGATTTGTGGGTGCTTGGAAGCTCTAAACTATAGTGAAGCATGATTCTTTGAGCCCATGGCTCCTTTAACCCAAAGAGCCATTGCATCCCTTGCAGACAGAGAGACATCGGCAGTGTGGTGTAGCAGATGAGAGGCTGGGCTTGCCCGAGAAGAGGGTTCATGTCCCCACTTCAGCCCTCAAGATAACAGGATGACCCAGGACCATTCAGTTAGGCTCACCTGTCTAGCAGCATTGCCCAGATTCATTGGTCTAACCTCACAGATCCCCTTATCACCTTGGAAGAAGGAGGGGAAACCAAAGTGTCGATTGTCTTCAGCGTGTTTTCGAAACTTTCTTTTTCAGTTACCCTGCAATCTGTGAATTTTTGCAAAACAATAATTTGTTATCTGTGATCCGAGCACATGAAGCCCAAGATGCCGGGTAGGTTCAGAGTAACTTCAGTTCTGCAAACTGACTTTTTTTGCCTTGTGTGTTTTGTCAAATCAACCTATTTACCCTTCTGCCTGCATTTCTAGGTACCGAATGTACAGAAAGAGCCAGACTACAGGTTTTCCATCACTAATCACAATCTTTTCTGCACCAAATTATCTAGATGTGTATAACAACAAAGGTAAGAAATGGGTTGTATGCCTTGGCTGCCAGTGTTGGGTATAGCTTGATCCTTTCTGATCTCTTGTGTGTGTGTTTTTCCCCCTGAAAGGAACGCTTGCTCATCTCGGGCATTGCAAAAAATGTTACTTCCTTAAAACAGAGGACATAGCTTGAGCTTGGCCTTTCAACCAGCAATGTTTTGGCACCCCCCTCCCCCACAGATTTGCAGAGCCAATCCTATATAGGATCGAATGGGTACTACAAATGCTCACCAAGGTTCCTTGGCTTCTCTTCTCTCCCTCCTTTTCCTTTACCCCAGTAGCTAAAATTCTAGTGCACCTTGACGGCTTTTGTAAGAGGGAGCAGAAGGAAAAGTAGTGAAGGGAACTACAGGCGATTTTGCAATGGACTGTCTTCTTAACTCTCTTGAGAAAAAATAAAGGGATTCTTCTCTGTTTCTCCCTACCTCCTTTGGAAAGATCAGTCTTCCTCCTGGTGTTGTTAGATAAGCAGCATCTCAGATCATAATTCTGGTCTGTGAGTCAACAGAAATACACTGGCTGGCACTCCTCCGTTCTCCTGGACCCCCTGAGACTCATACTTTCTGGCCCTGACCTAGAAGTTGCTTCATCAGTGAGGAAGAGAGAGGAAGCTGGTTGGTACCTATTGCAGGCAGGTCTTGGAGCAGTTCAAGTCAGCCAAATGTTCACTAGGTGACTTTACCACACAGGGTTGTTGTGAGGAGGCAAGGTAACTGTGAGCTTTTGGAGATGGGGTATAATAATGTGATACCCTAACAGTAAGCTGGCAGGGTTTACTAAAATCAGGTGTATGTAATTCCTCTGAAACTTGTATGTTAAAAAAGTGCTTGTGTCAAAGCAGCTAAAGGTCTGATTTGGACCTTTAAATCAGAACTGAGTGACCTGCGGCCCTCCTGAAGTTTTGACGTACAACTTCCATCATAACTTATTGGCTGTGTTGGCTAGGGCTGATGGGAGGCCAAAATGTCTGCGTGGCAGATAAGTTGTTTAGCCCCAGTCTAAAAGATAGGGTCTTCTAGGTAAGGCACAAAGAGGAATAAGAAGCATTTGCTTGTTGTTTCCAACTACCAGTAGCTTGTCATCATGTCTGTACCAAGAGCTGTGTCTGATATGAGTAAGCAAGGGTTGTGAACCATGATTTGAAGTTGCCTTGTATGCACAAAGCATAGTTCAAACTAACCCCAGTTTGTTCTGGTTCAGACAAAAAGATAAACTGCATTTATTTGAAAACTGAAGAACGAAGAGTGGAAGAGTTTATTCACATAGAATAATGTAGCTAAGCATTGTGTCCAAATGCATCCAGTCTGCCTCTTTTCAACATGTAATGGGGGGCAAAAATATATTTCACCTTACCATTATCATGATTGTGCATTTGCAAATGTAACACACAAAAGAAGAAACAAGCCAGGAAAGGAAGAAAGGGAATTTAACATTCCTTCTGGCCTCTTATATGCAGAAGGTCTGATTTTAGGGGAGCTGCTTAATAAAGCAGCATAATGGCATTTTCCGAGCTGTAGCAACCTGGAAGAAAGAGGCAGGGTTGGCACTCTTGTAATCTCTCTGTCTCTCTCTTGTTTTCTTTTAGCTGCTGTGCTGAAATACGAAAACAATGTCATGAACATCAGGCAGTTCAACTGTTCTCCACACCCCTACTGGCTTCCAAATTTCATGGATGTTTTCACGTGGTCTCTGCCTTTTGTAGGGGAAAAGGGTAAGATGGAGCCTGCCATATAAAAATCTTGATAGGAAAAACCGATAACCAATTAGCAGGGGAATGATCCTCCTCAGGCAACAGCACTGTCTATTCTGGATCTTACAAAGAACCCAGAAACTTGTGCAGAGTCTTACTATCAGAAATGCAATGATGACTACTGCTACTTTTTTTAAGCAAGTTCCTTGCCATTCTTCTTGCAATGAAAATGTTTTTAATTGTCTCTGTAGATGCAGATTGCTGTCTCTCTATATTTACAGCATATATATAGTACTTCTCAGCTAAAAAGTCCTTCAAGCACTGTTTTAGTAAAGCCACTTACCCCTGGTGCCCTCCAGATGTCTTGGACTGCAAGAAGCATTTTAAACAATCAGAACAACACAGCTCAAAAAATAAAGCCATAAAATGCAAAAGGATTAGTTCCATGATCTCTGCCTTTCCCTTTCTTCCCTGCTTCTGTTCTTTTTCCTGTTTGCCTGCCACTTCACAACTGTCTGAAAATTACCAGTTCTTTGACAGTGTGGATACTAGAAGCAGTATAAACTTTTACATAAAGCCAAGGTTATGTAACCTTACTTAATTCTCATTATTGGATATACATTTGGATATACATTTCCACAGCATGTAATTTCAGTGTTAGAAAGCATGGTTGAATATCTGGATTCCCTCTGTCAACGTAGTTGTGGGAGTCCTATATATTGGTGACATGCCCTTGGTGTATTAGAGTACATATTTTTAGTTTGGAGACCTTCTCTGTTCTTTGGCTGATGTTAAAGCTGCTCTTGGTCTTGAACTGTTCTTTTCCCTGTGCTGCTGCTGTTCCTTGATCAGGCAGTCTTCTGAAGGAAGCAGTCAAACTTGGTCCTAGAAGGCTTGGTTTAACTCCCTTCCTCTATCCTGCAGTACACGTAGCGCTGAACCATGGTTTAACTTTATGTGCAAGTGTTCAGTATGCATATTTGCTGGGATCAAATGGATGATGTTTGTTTTTGCTATCTGAGCAACTTCCTATCTGTGCCATATTCAGTGAATTCTTAAGTGCAAACCATGGTTTACTGTTACATCTGAATGGGCAAAATGTGGCTTGTGTTTTCCCTCAATGCCACTACTGCAAAAATCACAAAGGGAAGCTGGTTTGCAGTCCTGATTTGGAAGGCAAATGCAATCCAGATGCAGCAGCAAGCTCTGGTTTCTGAAAAAGAGGAAGCGTCTCCTTCTCTTTAGCAGAATTGATGTAGGCTGGCTACACATGCGGACAGCTTTGCAAACGTAGCTCCAAAACACAATCTAACATTACATGTGAAGCACCCCATTCAGCCTGTTCTTTACTCAACTTGTCTCTACTTGCAGTTACAGAGATGCTGGTGAACATCCTCAACATCTGCTCTGACGATGAGCTCATTTCAGATGGAGATGAAACATTGGACGGTAAAGAGGCCTTTTTATGTTTTCAGGGTGGGTTATGCTTGGGTGCTTTCAACAAAATCCAGAGAGTGCAGCCTTACTCTTAGCACCTTTTTGTTGCCATCTTTATTCATTCATAGTTTAAACATGTGTGTTTGGCTGTTCTGTTTACCTAGAGCAGCAACAGCCTCTCTGCCCTTCTCTTTGCCCAGCATCATGGCACTGTCCTTTTTCTGCCATCCATAGTGTGATGTTTTTACAGATGTAAGGATGTGGGAAGGGAGAGTTAGAAAATATAAGCCTGATGGGGGTAGACGGCCTGCTCATTCAGTTTTCCTCATTTCTACTTCTGCTGCTCGCACCCCAGTGCTAGTTGTGAAATTGCCAAGACCAAATATGAGCTTCTGGTCCAAACAGCTTTTCTTAAAGAGAAATGTGGTCTTTTTAACTACAGGAACAACAGTGTTCCACATGCTTTGAAAAGGTGCTTGGTTTGTATAAGTATTGTGGACGAGGGAGTGAAGGAATTTATCACCATTAGACAGGCCACTCCTGTGATAACCAGGAAGAAATGTCTGCTGCAGCACTGCTGGCCATGCTTCTGCAGAATGGTTTGGGCTTTCCCAGCTTGCAACACTTAAAAGAACACACAAAATAAGAAAATGTTGTGGGGGCATAAAAATGGAATGACAGCTCTACGGTTCCTAGTCTCTGAAAGCATATATTTTTGTACAGACTTTCCATAAAATGCGCAAATATTAAGTGCAAAAGGAGTTTATTTTATTTTACCCTTCTTACCTGCTGAACTCGAAGGCCAACATTCTGGTATCGCCACAATAGTAATTTGTTAATGTCTTCCTAGCATGAACACTGGTGATTTATGTGAGGACGTTTGGTGTTTTGTGCTGCTAGGTGAATGCTTTTTTTTATCACTGATGATTGAATTAGCCATTTCATCCCTTTTCCATAACCTTCAGTAACAGAACCAACTTCCTCTGTTTGGCCTTCATTAGTAGTTTTTACATGATGCATTGGGGAGGCAGAAGGCAAATTGATTGTCCATCTGGAGTTTGGTAGCCAGTAAAACAGTAAAAAGGAAGAAGACTTAAGCCAAATGAGCAGGACACCAGAGTAGAAAAGAGCAGCCACCAACGGGTCCCTCTGTCCCATTGCATTTTTAAAAACATGTTCTTCCCTCCCTCCCATGGAAATTAAATTTGTTTCTTCTATCTCTATCTTCATCTCCTTGTTTACTTGGTGTCTCCTCTCCCTGAAGATAACTACATTTCAAGCTATCCGAAAGGTACCCAGCTAGAATTTGCTAAAAGCTTAATTCTCACTGCCTGTGCCACCAGATTTCCTTGGAGTGGATTTGAATAGCTGACTAGTTGGACAGTCTCGCCATTTCCCCCCTTCTCCCCCTTCAGTTTTAACATGAACGTGGTGCGTTTGGTTTGGTTTCTTTTTTTAACCCTGCTGTGTTCCACCAGGAACCCGAACGACGGGGTGGAGGGGTCACATTTCTCTTGACTTTTGAATGCAGCCACCTTATGCATGGCTGATCCATTGGTGCATGTCAGATCTCCAGTTTGGCTTGTCCTGATCTTAATGCGTAGCCGGGCCATTAAAAAAAAAGATCTCAGCTTAGAGGAGATGTCTTTGTCATCTGATTGACAGTTGAGCCCCTAAAAACTCCATGCCTTCCATCCATGTTTGGCCTGTGTAGCAAAAGGGAGCATACCTCCTTCGCACTTTATTCAACGAAAGCTCCAGCAAAGCCACGTGACTCCAGCTATTCCTGCGTCTGTGCCGACGGCGGTGCTTGTGTAACCGCTCTCCCTTCTGCAAGCACAGCCCAGCATCCCGGTGTCTTCACCCTCACTTGGTCTTGTTGTTGTGTTTCCTGCCTTGCCGAACTGTGTCTCTCTGGCTGGCTCATTTATGTGACATCCCATGTGTAGTGTGGTCAAACCCATTTGAGCATCCGAGAGATCGTCTTACTACTTCCGGTGGTCCCACTTTCCCCTCATTTATATTTCTTGTCCGTGTGTCACCTGCTCCCTGTTTCGTTCTGTCATTACCCTTCCATGACTGTGACCGATGGAATTTAGCTGTAAAGTTGTAATCCGATTTCTCTTTCCTAGAATCAAGCAGATGCTTCCTACTGGCATCACCTGAGCCTTCAGGGTTTTCTTGCCTCATCCTTTTAAACTTTTTTTGAATTTTTCTTTCCTAAGGAGGCACAAATGCCCGTAAAGAGATCATCAGGAATAAGATCAGGGCCATTGGGAAGATGGCACGCGTCTTTTCAGTTCTGCGGTAAGTCTGTTCGCTCTTGAGAATCTTGGCTAGAAAGAGAAGAGACAGTCACATTCTTTGGCCAGGCTTGTACCAGAAAGGATCAAGGAGATGCCACCCTTGGTGAAAAGGATGATTGAAAGACTTGGATTTGTGCATAGTGAACATGCAAGAGCAGTTGCACATAGGCAGGACCGTGGCTCCTTCCTTGGAATCAGCATCCTTCCAGCATAAGCCCGGGAGAGGGGCTGTGCTGGATCAGCCACGCCTAGTCCAGCGTTCTGTTCACACAATATCCTGCCAGCTCCCAGAGGGAAGACCACCCGTAGGACATGAGCACAGTGGCATCCTCCTAGCCCTTTTCCTCGGCAGCTGAGGAAGCGTTGCCTTCAACACTGGAGGCGATCCATCGCTACCGTGACCAGTTGCCATTGATGGCCGCCTGTACCAAGGTGCCAGTCCTGTGGGAAAGACCCACAGAACCAGACCCGCTCTGTGGCTGCAGGCTTTCAAATGTTACAGCTCTGCCATGGGCTGCACCTTTGGAAAAGAGGCTGCTGCGGTAAGGCTGTGAGATAAAAAGGGACAGCATGGCCTGCCTGCGTGGGCTGGTCCATTTATAATCCACTAGGGAGTTCCCAGGCAGTCTCCCATACAGACATTGACCAGGGCCAGGCCTGCTTAGCTCCATATACCTGTCGAAGGGTGGTCCCTCCAGATCATAGATATGTTGCATTTGGGCAATAAAGCAACCATCCTGCTCTCCAAATACTTGTTTTGCCCCTTGGCAAGATGGGCATCACTGGTCTCTGCAGTGAAGCCCCCAGTTCATGGTTCTTGGATGATACGCTTAGCCCTGTCTTTGAGATAATGAGCCAATTGCAAGGGGCTGCATGGACCTCATAGGTTTCTCTTTTGACTTCACTCTCTCTTGACTGGACCAGGAGCTCAGGGCTGCTCAGGTTTTATTCTGCTCGGCTCTGGAAGTCTTTGAACCAGATGCTAAAGAGTGTGTAGCTTAGTTTCATTGAGGAAGTTCCCGGTTCAAATATAATTTGCTGTGGATTCACCGGGTAGCCTCATATAACTTAACTTGTACTGTGCATATGTGCATGTTAAATGCTATTTATTTATTATTTAAAACTTCTCTGTGCCCCCTCTCAGGGACAAAGCTATCCCAAGGCATCTTTCAACAATAAAATAGGCTGATATGAATTTTTAGGAACAGCTAGCTAAACAAACTAAATCAAGACGGACCTGCACAGGTGTGCCCACACACTATCACGGAAGGAGCAAATTTCAGTCTGAAAGTTTGCCATGTTGGGGCCTGGTGGGCCTTGGCTGATAACGCTCTCCAGAGGCGTGAGGCCACTGTGGAGAGGCCCTCCGTCTTGTACCGTCCCACTTAACAAGAGGGCAGGTGAGAAGAACTCCTGCCTCTGTTCTCAAGGTGCAGGCCAGTTGATAGAGATTCATGCGATAGTAGGGTCGGAAGGGGCCAAGGAGGCCCTCGGGTCCCACCCCCTGCTGCTGCAGGAGGCCAGGTCACACCGTCCCACTCAGGGCTGCAGGCCGTAGTACATTTGAGGTCCCTTGTCCCTGATTACTCTTTGGACCCTCCCTGTGCACAAACATGGGCTACAGCCTTTTCCTTGGGGTGGTGAAATTCGCTCTCCACAAGCTTGACTCTTGAGAGTTGTTATGCTTCCTCCAGAAGACATAATGCAAGGAGCTACCTATCTGCTATGGCAGGCCGTTGCTGTCCGAGAGAAGACGAAGCGAAAAGAGACCCACATTACCTGCTCCCTGATGCTTTAAATCAGAAGTGAGGGGTTGCAGCAGGAGCCGTCGCGTGCCGATTACGCGCCGAGCGCTCTGCTGGTCCAGGGCTCCTTTGATAGCTGCAAGCACACCTAGCCGGCACATGTGTGCTCAAGAGAGAGCTGAAGCCGTTCCCAGCCCTAGGGACACCTTACATGGACATGGCTGTTGCAGGCAGTCTCTAAATGTTTAGCCATTCACTCCAAGGATCTGAAGTGTCACTTTAGGAAGCACAGTCCTAAGCTGCTGATGTGTGTTTGTGTGCTCGGGTATAAATTGCCCACTTTTCCTCTTTTCAGAGAGGAGAGTGAGAGCGTGCTAACGCTCAAAGGCCTGACTCCCACAGGTACTCTGCCCCTGGGAGTCCTCTCGGGGGGGGAAGCAGACTCTACAGACTGGTAAGTATGCAAGAAACAAGCCCTGTGATTGCCATATTTTTGCGCGCAATGAGTTTGGAATTTGTGCAGGTTTGGCCTTAAGAGACCCTCCAGGGTTTCTTTCAGGTGGAGCTAAGGCTTCCCAGTGCCACATTTCCCTTCACAGTGTCGGGTGGACTGCCCCAAAAGAAAAGATGGACGCTGGCTGTCCATAGTCCTGATGGTGACATCCCAAGCCTCTGCCTCTGAAGTCCCCAAAAGGACACTGGAGAAAGCATAGAAGAAAAAATAGGGAAGCAGAACTTGGAGCTGCCTAGGCTGATTGAGTAGGAACCTGGCAAGGAGGTGGCTCTCGCTCAGGGCATTCGTATCAGCTTGTCATAGCTAGTGATCTTGCTGGGAAGAGAAGCCTGGAGCATGTGCAGCATGGCTGGGGCCCTGTTCTTTGTAACATCTCTTCATATTTCATCCTCTTAACAACAGTTGCCCTTTAGACTTTTGCTGCTGTGGAGGAGCATACGTGGATACCATCAGCCCGCTTTTTTTGTTCCCTTCTGTACTAAGTCCATCTGTTCTCAGTGCTAATATTGAAAAGTAACAGCTGAAGGTTTTGAGAGTCTCTTTCCAAGCACTGAGATTCCAAGATCCCCTTTCCAAGTACAGCGGGATGTTTTTAGCATTAATATTTGTGCTGGTCCTCAGCCTGAAGCGCTTGTGTGTCCTTGTGCATTCTCAGCCAAATTGTGCCAGAGTGGAGAGGGTAATCTTTAGGGCGTGTCCAGACCCACTCACTCCTTGCATTTTATACCATTTCATGGTTCTCCTCCATGAATTCAGAGCTAATCTTCACATCCTTCCCATATACAACTTCTTCCCGGGACTGAAGTCTTAGTTAAGCAAAAAAACAATGAACCAAAAGGCAACCATTACACAAATGCATTCACTCGCCTAAATACTGGGTACTAGAAGTGAAACTATGAAGCATTTTTCTCCTGCAGGATTGTTCTGTAGCCAGGCTTAGCACCTGTTATAAAAGAAATAAGCTGATGAAAGTAATGGTGTGGACTATGCACTGCACCCACCATTTTTCAGCAGTGAGAGAGAACCATGGTAATACAGGAAGAGGGACTTGGACCACTGCTGCGGAGAGGAGATAGCACAAGACTTCTGCCCGGATCAAAGACTTTGTTTCAGGATCCAAGCACGCAATAACTGTGCTTTCAAAAGGCATCGTGAGGGATATGAGGCAGAATTTAAGCCTATATTATGATCCCACGCTGGCCACTGGGGGAATTGCAGGGCACTATCTTTGCCAGCCAAGAAGCTTTTTCTTGCAACGGAGATCAGAACAGATCAGGCACTTCTTTTTGACCCCTGTGAAAGGGTTCCAGGCCCACAAGCCCCACTGATCAGAGTTTGAGCCTTGCTGTTCCATCTGCTTTTTCTGGGCTATGGCTGGCTTGTTGTTGCTTGGCCTCGACATGCCCCCACCTCGTCAGGAGCAGAGGCTGGTGCAAACACATCTCCTAAATGGGGTGGAAGTCTTGGCCCATAAAAGATGTATAGTGTGGCATATGTCTCCTCAGTAGAGCTCCACAAAAGATGACCTTCTCCCCCCACAGAAAAACCCCTGCCAATCTGGATTAGCAAGTCCTTCATACGTAACAATTTTCCTATGCAGGCTTTATTTCCTCATAGAAGAAAGCAGGAGACAAGTGATGAAACTTGAATGCATTTGCTCCCACAAATCCTCCCAAATACACGGCGGCAAATATCACTAAATATTTCAGAGCCTTACTTCACTGTTGGAATACAGTAGACTATGCTTCCTTACTTTCTACCCTGGAAGGATCCACAAGGTGACTTACGTTGACCAATACAATGCAATATATTCTGCAAGCTATTAACATCCTTCACCACAGCATAAACCCATCTGCATCTTCCCTTGTTTTGAAGAAAGCTGTTCCCTTCCAGTAGGGCAGGCAGCCAGTGCTGTCCTGTATTTGCTGCTTGCTAGAATCAAAGCAATTGAGCATTGTCAACAAACCCAAAATGCTCAGGTTGCATTTTCAGACATGAAAGTGTTAGCAAGTGGTGGATCAGTGCAACTTTTTAGGAGCATAAGATTGTGGGTCAGGCCAGCATTCGATGCCACCATGACTGGCCAGTTGACTGTCTGAAGCTCACAGCACAACAGCCACCTTCCCACTCAGGGTCCCCAGCCTCTGGCAATGAGAGTGGGGATAGTGTATGGCCATCATGATTAAGCCCCATCTTCCATGGATGTGGCTGATACCCTTTTAAAGCTGCATAAGGCAATAGCCATTGCTGCATCTTGTAGTTCCATGTTCCACAGTTTGACTCTGCTCTTTGATAAGCCATATTCCTTTTCCTGTTCAAATCTGCTTATCTTTAGTTTGGATGGATGACTCCAGATTCTATATTAGGGAGAAAAACAAATCTCATCCATTTCTCCACTATCATGCAAAGTGTTATACATTGCTGTCATATCCCCTCCCCCTTACTCACCTTTTTTCTAAGTTAAAAGCCCCTAACATTATAACCTTTCCTCATAGGGGAGTTGCTTCCACCCCTAGATCATGTGAGTGTCCTCTTTTATGCCTTTTCAGCTCAGCAGTACCCTTTTCAAGATGCAAACTGCATTCCAAATGCAGTTTGCCTTCGATTTGTCTGAAGGCATTGCAATACCAGCCATTCTTCTTTCTTTTCCTTTTCAATGATCTCCTGTATGGAATTGGCATTTTTCTCAGCAGTAACCAAACGGGTTCATGTTTTCAATGGCATTACCTACCACTGCCTCAAGATCCCAAAACTGTAAACATGTGCTTTCTATTTCATCATGTGTACACACAATGAAACATAAGTTCATATGTTCCTCCATAACATGATGCATCCTTCTTCCTATATTGGAGCTGCACTGTATATAGGAAGGTCAAACGGAGGCATTCTAAAAAACATGGATTCTGTTAATCTGCTGTAAATAGCACCAGTCAAACTCACACTAAGCCACTGTAGGTCAGCTTTGTGGGGAATTGTAACTGACTGCAGACCAGGAAACAAGTCATAGTAACATTTGTCTCTAGAGGGAACTCTGTAATCTACTGTGTTAATCCTTTTCTGCTGCCAGCATTTGAGCCTGGCATGGAACCAGCCCAGTTTCCCTTCCCTTTGATATTGGATGTCTTCCTGGTATAATACAGAAGTTTGCTCTGGCACATGTTCCCCTTGATTCAGTTTCTCATATGTGCATGAGAGGTGAACAATCAGAGGCTTACAGGGCAGAAGGAAGTGGTGCTTCTCCAGAATTGTGGGGCCTTCTTTCTCAGGGAGAAGACAATTTTTCAGACACTTCAGCTCCTCTTCTGTAACGGGGCAAGGTACAACGCAGATGACAAAGTAGATGTCAAGGATTCCTTTTGCCCTTGCTTCCTTGAGTATTGCAATAGGTTGGTCTTAGAAAACCATATTCTGCAGAGACTAGCTGTGTGTCTAATGACTTGGGAAATGGTTGCTGCATTAGGTTTTCCAGCTTCCTCTAAATGCCCCACCCCCAGCTTGTTCATAAGAATCTGAAAACTTTCACAAATGGTGCATTAAACTCTGAAATAAAGCATTTGAGCTTTACTGTGCTTTGCATCTTTTGTAGTTTCTCTTTGAGATTTGGTTAAAAAGAACAAAGACTAGACGGGGCACCTTCTCCCGTCGCCTTCCTCTTGTTTCTCCATGACATGGAAGCTGCATAGAAACTTAGTTTTCTGCATGAAATCCACCTTTCTGCATCCTTCAAGCAGTCCTTAACTTGGCAGCTCCCGTCTCGTTCCTCATTACCCGAATGCCATCTCCCCTGAGCACACCCCTAAGCATGAGCTCTCTTCATGCAACGTCCAAATCCCAAGCCTTTCATATTGCTCTTTTGCAAGGCCTTCTGATCATTCACTTTTCGTTGTCCCTCTTCCAAAAGAGTCTCTCAGCCCTACTGTTGTGCAAAAGAGCTTTCTGTCATGCCAGTTGCATGGTGGTTCCAGGAGGCAGCTCACATAAGCCCATGTCTGATGAAAACCCAAGGCTGAGAGCTGACAGTAAGTCCAAGTTTGCCAAGAGACTTTGAGCAGGGGTTTGGGCCTAGGGCTTCTGGTCTAATGCTCTGTTCAGGAAGGAATTCAATTTCCTTGAATGAAGTGTTGCTCCAGGAAGAAAGGATTTGCTGCTTTTGACATGAATCTCTGGGGCTCTCTGGTAGTCTTTCAAAAATTACTGTCTTCTAGGAATAAACTGGTGTTGTAATCTGCCTACCATTGCCACCAGTGTGGAATATAGGACCCAAGAAATTTTTGTTAGCCCCACCCCTGGGGTCTCTTCTCCAGGTCAGTGATTGGAGAGGAGAGTAGGATTCCCCTTGCCAGTGCAAGCCCTCTTTTTACTTCCTGTAAGTGATCAGAGATAAGAGCCAGCTTGTTAGCATTAACCTTCCATAGTGCTGACACTAAGAAGGCTTGACTGCCTCAGAAAGCTTTGTGGATTGGACTGAGAACTCCAACCATCCAGAGGAAATTTGTGGACCAGGTGGTCCCCATTCCTGTCCAAAGAACTGAAGATCCTCTCCTCTCATTGATGCTCTGTCAAGGTTCAGACTCCTTACCTTCAACAGTTCCAGCAATGAGGAGGAATTCAGATCAATCTTATATACAACACCAGAGTTTTCAAGCTGATTTCCAACAGTCAGAAAGAATGCTTGATGCTAGTGTAGCTCTAGGAGGTAATTTCTGGCTAGAAGCTGTGGGCTGGTTAAGTGGCAGAGAAGTCTTGAGGCTGATCAGGCACAGTCCCACCCAAGCATGACAACTCTGCAGGCATCAACCTGTTCAAGTCCCCAAGGAAGGATAGGAACATCTCCGCTTCCAGTTCATAACTCCTTCGCCATGCTTATGCCAGCTGGAGTGATCCGCAGCTGACTCCTTCAGGAAGGCATCAGTCCTTCACCCTGTACTTCTAATCTCCATTCTGCAGAGTAGAACTGCAACTTTGATATTACCTGTTGATATATTTGCCCCTCCGACCCACTCCCTAGAGCACTGGATCCAGAACAAAGTTCCTGATTCGTTTTATATCTGAGGTTAACTCTCTCACTCTCTCAATAATACGACAGAGTCACAGTCATCCTGGAGGCATGGTCCTGGTGGCCAAGGGTGACACACTTATTTTTATGCATTTAGCAAGGGTTGCATTTCCTTAGGTTCCATCCTTTTCATCCTGGCCCTGTGGCACCACTGCGCAGGTAGCGCATCCCAGTGAAAACTGGTGGGCTGAAGGCATAAGGTATAAGAATTGCCTTGGTTGATCAGACCAGCTGTCCATTTAGGACAGCTCTTTGCTTCCACCAGCAGCCAGCCAGTTATTGCCTAGAAACCCTAAGGGCACTCAGTAGTCGTCAGCTCATGTGCAACTATCTTTAGAAGAACTTGGAGGTTCCATTCAGCTGCCACGACTAATGGCAAATCACACTCCTTTGGTTCATTGTCAGTTTGGGTCCACACCAGCCCCAGATGCTGAAATGGCCCACAAAAGTTGTGCACCCATTATGTTTTATCTATTTTAAAAGTAAACTTGTATGCATTGGATTTTTGTTATTGGGAACCCAGCTATAAAGGCATAATGGATACTTTCTGTTGGCAAAAGGCGAGAACGCTTGCTCAGACTCATGGTAGCTCACAGAATCGTATTGATAACTTTTTGCAAAGGGGCATTGACCAGGTGCCTAACTTCATGCCTGAGAAGAGCCCGCTAGGTGTAACTGCTGCTTATCATGACCACCTTTGCTCCGCTACTTCCCTGTGTCACGACTAGGATTAAGTTTGACCCATAAGGAAGTCTCATTTCTCTTAGGAACGTTTCTGGAAAATGTTGCTTAGCTCCGGCTATTGAATGCAAGAGGGTGAGGTGATGGGGTTGCTCGCCAGTCTAAGCACTTGTGGAAGAAGCTACCTCTGAGACTGCCGTTGCATGCCTTTGGTCCTGAAAGACCAGCTCTGTCATTCTCAGTGCTGTTATCATGGGTCTGGGCAGGCCAACTGCCCAGTGCCTGTGTTTCTGCCCCACTGCTGTCCTTCTCTTCAGAGACTTCTTGTACTGGGTCTGGGAGGGTTGAAGGTCTCAGAGGGTGATGCTGCATTCACTCACTCTTTCTGTCTTCATTTTTGCATGCCACTGTTCCTTCTGTATTACAGCTACAGTAGAAGCGGTAGAGGCACGGGAAGGTATGGCTAGAACCTTGCGAGAACCGGGATGGTTTTGTGTGTTTGAAAATCTTTTTCACCCCCGAGAGCTTTATTGTCTGCCATACAGAACCCGTTTATTCTTGCATCACCAGAAGTGGAAGGGAGCACTGGCCTAGCTGCCCCCATCACCCCTGGGGCCCGTCCAGGCCAGAGCTGAGAGGCATACATGCAATTCTACCCCATTAGTATTGCTCTTCCTAGCAGGTCCTCATGACAGTATTGAGCCTGGGAGGGCGCGAGGTCCGAAGCAGCTGCACTGGTGTAATGCTTTTCCTTTTCTGAAGGCAAAAGTGACCGTTTTCGGTTTGCTTCAGGGCTGCTGGGATGGGTTGGGCCTGTCACACGAGTTTTCTGCGAGTGCTGCATCCCTTCTACTGAGTCAGGGCTGGCTTGACTGGAGCCCATGTGTCACTGCCTACGGTGGCACAGCGGCAAAGCACTCCTCTTGTGCCAGAAGTGTCACAAGAGTCTCCACTTTGTCTTGGTCTGGAATGGCCTCCGTGAAGTATATGTATGTGGGGCTGCCTTTGAGTCCATCTAGCCCATGACTTCCTCTCAAACTCGCAGAGCTCTGAGGGGTCCTTGGCGGAAAGCACCCCCGCTCTTTTTTCACTGCAAAGTTTCCAACAACGGAGCCAGAATCCAAAGCCTGCCCTGTAGTACCAAGCAACCTGATCTCTCTGCAGACACTAGAAGTGTGTTCCAACATCTGGCCCTCAGTGCACTCTGCCCTGTCAAAGGCGACAGAACAGCTTGGGCCAGCCTTGAACCAGATCACAGGGTGTGCATCCTGGGCCTCTTTTGCCAAGTATGTGCTATTCAGAACACTCCAAGTAAGTGGAGCACAGATTCAAAATAAACACTGAAAGTCTCTGTCCTGGTCTCTCGCTTTCCAGTGTTGACCTTCTCCTTGAATGGGCTTGTTAGATCTGTAATACAGGATTAACCAAATTGTTCTGCTGCTCATTTGCAACAATCACATGGTGAAGGTTTCCTGGGCAAAATGGGTGTCTGGAGATCAGTTTTCAGAGGAACTTATGCTTGGCAGCTATATTAACTGTTGTGAATCCAGCTAGCTCTTCTACTGGAAGCAGTCTGCAGAAGGGGATTGTGCACTTAGCCTGGAAACGAAGGGGAGCACAAGGCTGCATTTAATGGGCAAAGGGCTTTGCCGTACCTGAAGCTTTTCCCTGCATTCAGTTCTTGGTCATGCAAGATTTAAAGAACAAAAAGCAACTCCCCCCCCCCCGCTTTTTTGATCCAAAGATTACTTCATTCTCCCTTTTTGTGGTGTGTTTTGTGTGTTTGTGGTGTTGTGCCAAAGTCCATTACTTTGATTTAGTCCTCACTATTATTTTGGTTTTACGTTTTTTTCAGCGTTCAAAAGTATGCTGTTGTTTCACAGAACTAATGCCTCAATTATTGAGCACATGTCTGACTTGCCAACCTGATGCTCCCACGATTAGATGCGGAGCTATACTGAGGGAAAGCCGATCCTAGTAAGGCTCCTTCCATAGCAGTTCTGCCTAGGAATTATTTACACTGGAAACAGATCACCAGTTTTAAGAGAGGCCCCTCTCCTCACAGGGTGCATATGTACGTCTTTTCCTCCAAAGGTAAGTTCCAGTCAAACAGAAATAGAAAGTTTTCAAAGCAATGCAAAAGCCAGTCCAGTCTGTTTGACAAAAGACCAAACTGGGATGAACATGCAGAAATCCCCCTTCCAAAACCTCTTCCACGCTTTGCTAAAGAGCCGTCTTTTCACATCAGCAGTGCTGTAGCGGCCAGCTCCTACTGATGGTGCCACCTGGCTCCCTGCCAAAGTCAGACATGTGCTCCGTAGCCGCAATCCTACTCAGGTGCAGAGTGGCCTGCTCAGCAAACCAGGCTTGGAAACCCCTCCAATTTCTTTTCCTTCCCTCTCTCTCCCCCTTTAGCCATCCGTGGATTCTCACCACAGCACAAGATCCGCAGCTTCGAAGAAGCCAGGGGGCTGGACCGCGTTAATGAGCGCATGCCACCACGCAAAGATTCAAAGCACCCCGATGGGCCGGTGAACTTAACCTCAACAAACTCTGCGGAAAAGAACGGGACAGGGAAGAAAGCCCAGTAACAGTTCGAGCCGCCCAGTCTGTATCACTAAAGGATCCAAAACTTAACGAATTCTATTTATTTATTATGAAGTCGGGGGGGAGGGGGGATGAAACCAACTTAGCCTGGAGGCACATCCATAATCCAGTTTGCATCCATTCTGTAAGAGAGGTGACCATTTTGTAAGTTTTTTAAATTTTATGTTCAATATATGAAATGTCATCTTTTTTTAATTTAGGAATGGGTCTAAATACTAGTGCTTATATAAAGTGTTGTTCTGTACAGATGGCCAATCCCTTCCAAGAGGGAAGGAGCCTGTGTTGGGGGAAGGAAGCCGAAGCAGCCCAGGCGACTCTCCGCTCTGAGTCATGGGAACTGTTTAGGCCATCCTCGTTTCAAAAAGTGGCATCTTTGATTTGAAAGCAACCTCCTCCTCCTCCCCCCCTCCTCCTCCCCCACCCCAGCTTTTGCTGTTTTATCTTCTATTCCTTACAGCATCTGATGCTCCAGCAGCTGACTTCCATTAAAGGCACGTTGCACAGGGCAGTTGGTCAACTCTCCTTTTTGGGACCCCGTGTCAGAGGCAGATGTTTGAATTCAGCTCCAGACAAGTTGCTGGAACTGGGGAATGATGCGCGCTCTTCTCCCCTCTCTGCCACCTCAAATGTTCCCATTGCTTTTTCCTTCAGGAATCCAGTTTCAGTGGAGTAATAAAAATCTCTTGGAATAAACCAATAGGTGGGCTTTGATGAATGTGATCCCGTGGTCTCCATTCATCTGAAAGTATCTCTCTCTTGAGTCCACCCGGCTGACTGCTCGCATATTCCAAGAACATAACCAGACACTCATCGGCATCACACAGGTGGAATTTACGCTGGCTTCTCTGACACAAAAACAGCCGCCACAGATTGCCACAGAGTCACGATTTTAATGTGAAAAGCTGTATGAGATTAATGCTTTGGGAAAGAGGCCCTTGCGCTTCTTCCCACCTTCTGCTCTTCCCATGCTCTGCACCAGAACGGCTCCACGGCGTGAGCCCCAGCACGAAATATCTATGCGATTTGGCCTCCTGCGTTCCCAGTTAAGTATGTATTAGCATTGCTAGTGATGTGGGGAATATGAGCTGTAGGAAGAAGCTGTTGTTTTGAGTGAGTCCTGTGCCAATAGAGCTGCTCTCCCTTGTCCGGATCATGCCACATGCATCGCCCAGCCTTGGGGCATCATACGCCTATGGCTAGGAGGGGAACCCACTTAGGCTGTGAATGGGAGCTGGGCTGGGGTCAGCAAGTCAGACGGGCCCCCACAGTTTGGCTTCCGCATGCAACCAGCGACGCTTTTTCAGGATGAATATAAAAGGCTTCTTAGTAACCTCAAAGACACACTCAGTCTGGGCTACTGACTCCTGCTTGCCTCATCCTTGGAATAAGCTGCCTTTCATAAGACTCTGGAGTCGCCCAGCAAGCTTGGGCTGAATTCCCGCCATCAAAGCCCCTTCCATCAGCATTGGCTTAAGGGTCTGGGTGTCTGCAGTCCTGCCGTGCTCTCCTCATCTCCCTGGGGCTGAACCTGGAGAGGCAGCCCAGCTGTTCTGCTCTGCAGCAGGAGCCCCTGCTGTTTGCTTCTCTCTCCTCTCTCACCACCCCTGTCTTGCAAAAGTGACAGCTGTGGCTTGCTTTGCCCTGTACGTGGAGAGGGTGTTTGTGGACAGGCAGATCCCTTAATGCTCAGTGGATGCGTGCCTGGAAGTCTTTTTAGGCCAGCGCTCCTGGCACGCGTCCACTGTGTGTTCAGGAATGTCCACCTGCTTTTTACCTTTTGTGTTTACCGCGGGAAATGCTGGGGTGCCCACGGCCCGCACAGGTGATAAGTAACTCAGCGGTGGGCTGCAGCGGCTCCGAGTTTTCAGTCTTGCATCTGGCAAAGCAAAGCTTGCCTGCTCCTCAAAGAAAAGACCTGGAAGAGTAATGAAGACCCGATTGCTCTGTTGATGGAAAATCTCTATCTTGATGTGTGGCGAGAATTTTTAACCCCACTGTGGGCTTTGCAGATTCAGGAAACTCGCTTACTATAGGCTGAAATGAGAGCCCTCAGTTGGTCTTGGGGTAATTTCTGAGAGGCAGCGGTGATGTGCCCATTCTATAATGAGGGCAGGTACCTTTTTTTCAGCAAGAAAGTTACAGGTGTATGGATGCTGCAGGTGGGAAGTTAGAGGGGTGAAGCTTAGAAATGCTGCGATGACCAGCGTTCTGACCATTCTGTTCTTTCTAAATTCATGAGCGAGTGGGCACGGAGAATCCTCTGAAGAGTTGAGAGGGAATTCAGAAGTAGAAGCAGGGGTTGCTCGGCAGCTGAAGCCGAGAGATGGTATTCACGACGAGCTCCTTGACGTGACCGAGCAAATGTGTTCCGCGTTGTAGAAGCGACCCTTGTGTCTGCAGTAATGAGTCTGCAGAGTGCTCCTTATTCTAACTGTGATGCAAAACAGGCAATGGTGGTGGTGGTGGTGTTTTTAATCCAAACTTGGTCATTTGTTGGAAAGAGGTACAGATGCCCTTTCCTTGGAATTACCTCACTTAGTTCAGCCATTGCGGGCTCTGGTTATGGTTTGCTTGAACCAGTCTTCCACAGGTAGCTCCTCCTCGCATGCTCTTCGGTCTTAGTTCGATGGCTCAATCAGGCAGCACAAAACTGTCCTCCGTAAAGCTGGCTATTCATCTCCCTGCAGCTGTCCTCTTCTCGCTGTGGAGGTTAGACTTTTCCTCGGTAGAGAGAGCGCTGTCTGGAATTCCGACATGGGTTGGTTTGACCACATTTCAGAGCAGAGGCAGTGTGGGGGCTCATGTACTCATTGCCACCCTTTTTGCACAAGCTGTAGCCTTTCGCTAGGCTGATAGACAGTCCGGTCTTGGATGGAGGGTCTCCAATTGGAGAGACATCAACTTTTACGGAGCAGAGGGAACTCTCCCTTCGTTGCATCTTGTTTGGGTGGCAAGTCTGTAAGCTCTGTGCTTGCCCTCCTGATGTTCTGGGAATGCATAAAAATGTTCACCAGGGTTGTTGGGCTTCCTTGTGCATTTGCATAACATGCAAATGCTGGAACTCCTGGGTGTGGGAGGAGCTCCAAGTATGTATGGAAGCCAAGCCATGTGTTGGGCAGAAATCTTTAGATAACCCAAAGAGCCACATAGAAGCCACTGTGGGGCCTGTGGCAACCATATCACCTGAATCCATACAGTTCTGAATCCTCTTGTGTCTGTTTTTTGTTTTAGTGTAAGGAAGATACGGTCAACTTCTCCCTGCTCATCACTTTCTGGAAATGTTGATTCTTGGCAATGGTGTACATACCCCTCTTTGCCTACCAGGTGGTTGAAACTTTATACATGGCCTACATTTTTATTTAAACAGAAAATACATTTGGGCCCTGAAATGCCATGCTTCTGGCTCACCCTTGCAGACTAGCGAGGCACATCCTACATTTCTTTGTCCCACACTTGGCTTTCTCTCCTCTCAAGCAGAATGGTGTTCTCAAAGCCACTACTGCTTGCTAACTATCAGAGTTTTCCAGGTGTGGCGGTCTTTGCCCTGTGGATCTAGGAGGATTCCTCCACCTGGTCTTCCGCATACTTGGATTGCATCACACTGGAGAGACGGGGGTGCCTGAAATGGTAGTGCCAAGCTGCCCTGTGTTCTAGTACAGAGATGCCCCTGGATCTGCTGGGGCAGCTGTTCAACGGAGGTGTCACCGCTGGGATGGGAGGGACGCCTTTTCTCCCACAGTAAAGCCCTTTACTCTGGGCTCTTCTCCTTGGCTCTTCCCCTTCACTCAGACACCCTGAAGGAGAAAAAGATCCCGTGTTTCACTTAGGAAGTCTGTATAAATCACAGGTCGTCAGGCCAAGCCTCAGTTCTGGTTGCTGAGGGACCGCTGGAGCTGGAATGGCTTGTTTTCTTGGCACAGCATGCCGTGTTCTGGAGCAAGGGGGGTGGGGAATGAGCATTGACACCGTTTGGGGGAGTGCGGGTGTTAATCCCCCCTCTTAGCTAATGCTTCTTCTGTAGGACTTGCTCCGCTGCCTTTCCCTGCTTTCACTGTAAGAGTGAAACTCCTGGTGCTCAGAAGGCAGAAGCACGCAATAATGGGTCAGCCCTGCTCCTGGAGAGGAGCGAACTCTTAGTAGCTACAGTCCGGCTTCCTCTTCATCATTTTGCCATCTTAGCGAACAGTTGGAAGCCAGTGTCCGGCATTCGGCACAGAGGCCTTATGCTGGCCTGCTTTCCTTCTGGCCTGGGGAAGAGACGCCTCCCAGTCCTGAAATGCCATTGGCACCAGTTTGCTGAAGGCCAATGTGGCACTTTTTGGCCTCCTGACCAGAATTCTGAAGCTGGGAGAGAAACCGGGTATGTGTAACTCAGCTGCCTGGATCTCTTAACCGCGGTTACGGGGTGGGGAGTGGAGTGTCTGCTCACAGAGCGGCCCTCAAAGCGAATGGCAGCCAAGATCCAGCGCTGCAAAAGGAGCATCCGCTATCCACCTTTAAAAGTGACTTCCCAGGTGTGGCATGAGAGTGATGCTGTCCCATCCTAGACCTATAAAGGGGGAGAACTCGATGTGCTTGGTTTGGTCGTGTGGGTGGGTGGGATTAAATAGAGCTGTCTGCCCCATCCTGCCTGCCTTGGAGCTGTGAATGCTTGATGAGGTTAGCTTCGTTTCTACTCCTCTTCCCTCCCCTCCCCTCCCCTCCCCTCTCCTCCATTGTGGTGGTGTTGGCTTTTAATGTCAGAGACAATCTTGAGCAATGAAAGCAGCAAAAACTTTTAAAAATTAAAAGCCAGGAAAACCGCCTTCCAGTCTGCTGGATTCCAGAGTATTAATGGCTGTGTGCACTGCCCCCTTAACTGTGAGGTTGCCTAAAAGCAGCCTTTTCATTTTTCTTTTTAACTCTTATCTTGCATGATAGAAAGCAAGGTGCATGTGAAAAGGAGGGGAGTCCACAATGGGGTCTTCCAAACTTCAGGAACAAAGGTGCTTTCACCTCCTTAAAGAGAACCTGTCCTTCCACAGCCCATTCACCTCTCCCTGAGTTAGCTAATCTAGCTCAATTCTGCAGTCAGTTCCGGGGCACCCTGCCAGCTTTGCTCATGCCAAACAAGGTGGAATCGCAAACCCCTGGGGCTGTGAGCTGAGGACCGAGGTTCTTGATTCTGAAGTGATGTTTGCCCATTGCCTGGAGACTGCCTCCTTTCTTTTTCTTGCTCTTTTTTCAGTTATGTTTAAAGGAGAATGGTGAACAATGTTATTTATTGGCAGAAATTATTTAATATAATTTCTCTTTTGTGAACAAGGAATGAATTTGTTAGAACTGTCTTAATGTAAATTGGAAAGTCATCTTTAAGAGAAAAAAACGTTAAAATTAAATGACAGTTGTTTGGCTCTAGTGTCATTTTTGGGTGAGCGGCAGCATGGTTCAAACATTCGCAAAGAAGAGCTAGACCCCTTCAATATGACTAAGTCGCCCAGGTTGCCAAATTCTTAAATGGCATAAGAGATGGCCTGTGTGTTGGAATTATTTTTGTCTGGGGTTGCATAAGGACATTAGTAAAGGTTCCCAAAATAGCAAGGATAAAATGGAGACTTTCAGCTGGAAATACCTGCTGAAGAATACCAAATATCCAAACCGTGGTTTGGTTTCTTTAAAGAGTCAGTGGGGACGTGTTTGTAAGAATTGTTGGGAATTTCATACAGACAATCAACCATTGCCCTTTCTCCTCCTAGTTAAAGTGTACACTAGCCATGGCTGAAGTCTGAGTAACACTGTAGTCTAAATGCATCCGAGGGGCTGGGTGACCACTTCCACCAGAATTTCTCTGCTGGAGAATACAGGACAAAGCAATTCCCTGTTGAAGAATTACTTTGTCTTGTAATGGAATTCTGGAGTGTGTTTATATGCTGGACCTCTCCATACTTCTGTGCAAGCTAGTGCTACAGCCCTTTGCACATTTACACACGTGTACATCCTATTGAAATCAACAAGACTGACTTTGAAGTAAACATGCATTAGATCAAGTCCCAAGAGCGCCTCTGCAGTGCGCTCTGCACTTCTCAGTAACTACACATTGCCCTGATGAGTAAACACAGAAACAGAGCAAGTCAGAAGGGGTCTCCCAGGCCATCTAGTCTGACCCCTGGCTCAGTAAGATGGGTAATAATGGGTGGACAATCTTTGAGTGAGGCTTGACTGCTATAATCAATGTTCTCTCTCAGGAGCCTCTGATAAAATTCTGAGGAACTCCAGTGGGTTTGGAGGACTATTGCTTGAAACCTACACGGTGCTATCATATGCTCCATTTGTTTCCTTGGCTTGCAGTGAAGGCTGCAGAAAGTGTTGAGCATTTAAACGGTGGGATCTGGAAAAGGTCATGATGGCAGGAAGGAGTTTTTCAGTGGTAGATTCCAGAGGGGGTATCGTTTTCCTGTCTCCAATCCAGATGCTGTTTCAGAAAACGTGATCTAGAGCAGTGGAGGAGTCAAAATGCCGAAGGCAATCCATCAGAACCTGCAGAGGTAGAACCCCTTTTGAACCCAGTGCTTTTCAGGTCTTTGCAATATGTTGGCAGAGTCAGATTAAATGGTGACAATCACAGAACTGTGCTGATGGTGTAAACAACCCTAGTGTCGGATAAAGGTCATGTCTTTAGCGAATTGAAGCAATGACCAAGCGTGAGCTGGCCACCCTTCTGCTGCTCCTATTGATTTCAGTTGGACTTGTGTGCATAGGTTCCTGGGTTGATTGTGCTCCATGCTAATTACCAGGAAGGAGTGTTCCATTTAGATTTGTTATTGCCTTTTTCCTGAAGCATTAAATTACCTTGGCCAGCCCTGTTTGGTTAGTGAGACAGAATAAGCTTCAAGACCTCTGCAGGATTGCCAAGCCTCAGAAACAAAACATATTGGTTACTGAGCGCACAGCCTTCAGCCCAGTACAAAAGCCAGATATTCAGTTGAGATGGATAACTAAAACTTAAATAAGGACTGGCACTGGTGAGAGATGGAAATGGACATTGTTTTTCTCATAGCAAGGTATGGCTTTTCTTCGTTGGTTGATGCCTCTAGACCTCTGGGCCTTAGGCACAGCTTATCACTCCCTGGTAGTCTAGTTTTGCCGTGTTCTTTTCTGAAACAGTGCCCAGGCCCGATATTGGAGGGTGATGTAGCCATGTTAGCTGCCGCAAAGCGTTCCTTTTTATAGGCGGAGGATTTTTCCATTGAGCAGCGCACTCCGGTTCTCCCTTGAGGATTCCTCCTCTGGCTTAACTGTTTCTCAAATAGTTCTGTGAAAAGCGAAGCATCCACCTGTTAAGGAAGATAATTCCACCTGGATGCAGATCCACCATACGCCAGGCACTTTGAAGAAAATCTTCTAAGGCTAATAGATTAAGGGTGCGGTGCTGTAAATGTTTTGACAGAAAAAAGGCCTCTCTTCTGTTGAAACTTGCATAGCATTACAACTTGATTGTGTGCTGCTGTTTGTGTTTTTCCACTTTCATGGAGCTCAGAGGGGCTCCCATTTTTTCTGCACAACAACTTTGTGAGGTAGGTTAGCCTGAGGCTACTCAGCAAGTGGCGGCCTAAATGGAGAACGCAGGCCCGATCTCGTCAGGGCCTGTCCGGATCACAGTGACATTAAACACTCGTAAGAGTTAAGTCTGTTGCTACACTCCCCACCGGGAGACTTATCTTGTCCCAGAAGTGAAGTGCCAATGCCCGTGTAAATACACTTCACCGGAAACTAGAATTCTGATCAGGGATAACTGAGGACGGAAACCAGCTCAGTGTTATTTTGGGTTAAGGAATGGAGAGGACAGGAGGACAATGCTTTATGTATTTTTAAAACATTCCCATCTTACTCGTGTGGAGCAGCTAACAAAATGGACTAATAAAAAACACCCGATTTTGCTCCAGGCACAGCCAGCCCTGGGCCTCTGTTGGAGGAACAGTGAAATTCAGGCCCTGTGGAACAGAGGGGGCCTTTCTAGGAACCCAGTCCAGGCCGTGCTGCGTTTGATCATGCGTTGGTTTTCCATTCGTTGGTTTTCCATTTTTTCCCTATCTAAAAAAATGAAGTGCTTCTCCTAAGGCGTAGTTATGGGCTGTAAGAGCTTTGAGCCAAATTCTACCAGTATTTTGGGCCTCACCCCTTTTCTGCCTTTCTCCCGTGCCCACCAGTGGAATGTACACACTCCCTGGAGAGTCTCCTGAACGGAATTTGTTCAGGAATCCTGAAAGAGGGTCCACACCAGGGTTCTCCTGTTTGCTTCACGTCTTGTCCGTAAACTCTGCCCAGCATCGGACCACCAGTTCACCAAGTCCAGTGGCAGGGCGTGGGTTATCCCTGCACCATTAGCGTTGCAGGGTGAAAAGTGCTGAGTCCATCCAGGCGGCCCCCGTCCTGATGAGCTGCAAGCAAGCATGGTCCTCTGATTGGGTATTTGGGGGGCCACGGAAGCAAGAGCATCCTTGAGAAATGCTGCTTCTGGAACTATTTCGCAGAGGGACTGCTAACCTTCCTCAGTCTTTGTTTCCTGAACTCCTGAAAAGGGGCTTGGGAGAGTACCCCCTTTCCACACTTAAGCCCACTTTCCAAATTATGAGGTGGCAGCTGTAGAATCTCCCGCCAATGCATTTAATATGTCTGTTTAAACAGCAGATACAGTGAGGCCCAAACAAAAACTCCCATAGCAGATAAGAGGGGAAGAGATTAATCTGGATCACGATGCAGCTTCCTTTGATGTCGCTTCTGTCCCCAACATGCTCTCTTGTGGCTGCTGTGGCAAAAATTAGACTCTTAAAATCCTCCCTGGCATCGAAATGTAGCTTGGCCCTGGTGTTGCAGTCAACACACCACCACCCCTTCCGGAGGACTCCTTTTCAGAGGACGACCTGGAAAACTTTGTGGAACGTTTGCGCGTGTTTAGGGAGCTAGAGGTAGATTCGGGGGGGGGGGGCTCAGGACCTTTGGGGAGACAGTCATTATCCCTCCAGTCACAGCCTGTCCCCTCTTGGGCTTGGAGACTGAGCAAGGCTCAATCAGCTGCCAGGTGCACAAGCGTTGGCCTGAGGCATACAGACTCCTCATGCGTAAAGGTATACTCATGAGGAGCCCATTCCTAAGGCAGCACAGCTGGGCTCTGAATGAGGCTAGGAATGCCCAACCCAGAAGCAGGGAGCACCAGCCTACAGAATACAGCATTGTATTTTCCTGGTAAGTGTACTCTTTTATGGAAATTCCTGATCTGAGACTTCAGGCTGCCTGCAGACCTTGGAAATACCCTGGCTGAATTCCCCCGGAGCTCTGTCTGCCCTGAGTTTCTACCACAAGTAGCACACCTGTCTCATCAGTTGTGTGCTGGGCACCAAAAAGATCCAGTGTTCAGGCCTGTTGCATATGCTAATTTAAACATACTCCCACATTTCTGTCCTGTCAAGAACATCCCTATTTGTAGAAAGGAATATGTGGGCAAGGGAAAGGCAGGAAGATGAGGGGGGGTAGCAGGAGATAAAGTATGTGTGGGCAAAAAGGCAGGTAATCCAGTGTCAGAGATTTTCAGAACCCCGTACTTTTGTATCAGCCAATGCTGATGGTAGCTGGGGGGGGGGGGGGGGCCTCTCAGAGGCTCATCCCTCCAACTGGAAGCAGTGGGGCTCCATCCCAGTAAGAGGTGAAATGCTGGGACTCGGCGATCTGGATTCTAGTCCATGCTCAGCAATGGAGCCAGCTGGGTGACTTCGGGCCAGCCACAGACTCTTGGCCCAACCTACCTTGCAGGGTTGTTGTTGTGGAGATAAGATTGAGAGGAGCAGGAAGAGAATGATGTATGCCTCTGACTTCTTCAAAAAGAAAAAAGGCAGGCTATAACTCAAAGATTTAACTACATAATTTGTTGCATATGTATATAATGCTTTTAGGTGTACTTCGGATGTGTGGTCTTCTCTGTTGAACTCTGACTGCTGATTCGATCACATTCCGTTTGCTAGCAAGCTATCGAAGCAAGCTGGCACCTGTATCGTCTTTTGGTCCAAGGTTAAGAAAGGCAGAGAGAATAGTTTGCACCTAAGGAGATGGTGCAACTTCCAAGGGTGCAGTAGCCATACTGTACTTTCTTCAGCAGGTGGTGCTGTTGCGTTAGATATGGGCGTTGTAAGAGTTGCTGCAGGGAGTTACCTTTTAGTTCCTTTTTTAAAATCATCTCTTTGGTCAAAAGGTTAAGACATCAGCTGAGACCCTGCAGAGCTACTGTCTGTAGGTGTGAATAGTGGGCTCAGATGCACACAGGTGGTCTGATTTCCATGCATGGAGTCAAAAAGGCACAACTGGTAAAATCTCTTACACAGTGGCCAGGCCTCAGGAGCAGAGAGCAGCAGTTGCTTCTTT